GCCGCGGCCGGGCGGGGCTTCCGGGAAACGGCGCGGAGGGCGGTGCCGGCCCTGGAGGCCCTCGTGGGCCGCGGCCTAGGGGGGCTGGGCTCTGCCGGGCGGGAGGACAGCGAGGGCGCGGGGGTCGCGGATTCGGGGGCGACGGCTTCTCCGGAAAGGTTCCGAACTCTTCCGGAGGAATAGAGGCCCCTTAGGAAAGCGGGACCGCGGGCTGTTGTAGACTGGGGCGGGGTCGCTGCGGTCCGGCTCAAGTCCCTGCCCTGCCCGGGAGGGCTTCCCCGCGCCGCGACGGGCAGCCCACCGAGGGCCCACCCCGGAGCGGAAGGGCCAGTCCAGGGACGAGCCACAGGGAGGGTGGAGGGTCAGCACCGCGGACGCCCCCCGGGCTGGGCGGGGGGGAGCCTGGAGCAAAACGGAGAGGCCCCCCAGGACGAGGGTCAGGCGCCCAGAGCAGGCCCGGGCCGCGCCGGAAGCCTCTGGGACCCCCAGTGGCCGGAGGTTTGACTGCCCTACACCATTCTTCCCGTCAGGTGGCTCCGGACCGGGAGAACCCAGTGGTTCCAACCCTGCAGAAGCTTACCGTGTGGCCCAATTTAACAAATGGTACCCAGCAAATCCCACCCAAAAGTTGCTCAAGGGGGTGTACTGAAATCTCCCCCCATCCCAAGCACAAACGCACCTTCAAAAAGACATGGTTTTCACATTTTTTAAAATTTCAAAGTAGTGCATAAACACACCCTTCTTATTTACAAAGACAGAACGGTGCATTACACAGAAAGCCCAACCTTGCTTTGCTCCCATCCCCTATCCCCTCCTGTGCCGGCTCGGTGCTGCTCTCTTGGAGCTCACCCCCTGCAGGCCGCGACCTTGGCGGACCCCTTCGGGGGCCGCCCCCGCCCCCACCACATCACCGACCCCACGTGCCGTGGCTGTGTCGGGTTGGCCGTCCCGCGCACTGCGCGGTGGCTAGAACAGAGCCGGGCTTGCGCCTGAAGCGCATAGACGCGAAGTAAAGGCGCATAAATGAAAGCGGGTGGTGGCATCCCTCGCGAGTGTGGACACTCCAAACTCCCCTCCGGGTGTCCAGGTCTGGGTTTCCCTCGTCTTCAGGGGGTCCTTTGCCACAGCGCTTCCTTTTGTTTTGGCATCGGCCACACTTGGAGGCGGGGGTACATCCCTCAAGGCCAGGGCCTCAGGGACAACCCTCCCAGCTGGGAAAGGTGGGCGCTGGTCTCCACCAGACACCGCCTTTTCAGGGGCGGACACCTGGCCGGACTGTCCGGCCCCCCCACCCCCGCGGCTTGATGGCGTCTCACCTCCGCCCCTGGTTCCCTCCCAGCCCACAGGGCGCCCAGCGCGTGGGGCCCTACCCTCCAGATCCCAAACCGGGTTGGCAGCTGCCCCGCCCCCGCCGGCCTGCCCTAGCAACCGTTGCTAAGGGGCGTGGCTCGACCGCGGAGGCACGGAGATTCCCGCGGCCTCATGAATATTTGAGTATTCAAATGATGCCCCGGCCCCGTTGCCATGGTGCCCAGGCCCCGCAACCCCGCCACCGGAAGAACGACCCCGAGTCGGAGTGAGCGCCCGGCAGCGGAGGGCGCCCAGGGCCGTGGCACCGAGACCGACCCCTCAGGTGAGAGCCAAGCACGCCTTTGGGCCTGGGGCCGCAGGCCTCGCTGTATCTCCCCCGTTCCTGGCGGGAAACTGAGGCCGAGGACGGGTCCCAGCACTGTCCCCTCGCGTCCATGCACGGGCTGGGACTGTCTGTTCATGGCTCAGCCCCACCCTGCCCTGCCACTCTGGGAGCCCCACAAACCTCCCAAGTTGGAAACCTGTGGGCCTCTCTGTCCCCACAGCCCAGGCTAATGCCAGCCCCTGGCCTGGCTCATCAGCTATCTGGGTCCCCTCCTCAGTCCCCACTATGGAAACTGCCAGATCCGAGTCTGGGTCCCTGCCTCCCTCTCCCCCGCAGGGGCAGGGCCTGGGGTCCCTCCTATCCCGTGACTGGGAACCCCTCGGAGCACGGCTAGGGGTTGTGGGCAGCGCCCCTGGAGGACCAGATTGGACATCTAGGGGTACCACTGAGTCTCCCACTGGCTTTGCTGCTTCATCCTAGGACCCTGAGACCTAGGCTCAGCCCACGTTGGAGGGAAGTGCCCAGAACATTCCAGGCAGACTTCTGGCTCTAACCCTAGAGATGATTCCAGGGTCAGGGGACAGGCCAGGCATCTGCAGCTTTAAGGGGCGCCTGGGTGGCTCAGTCGTTAAGCGTCTGCCTTCGACTCAGGTCCTGATCCCAGGGTCCTGGGATCGAGCCCCGCATCGGGCTCCTGGCTCAGCGGGAAGCCTGTTTCTCCCTCTCCCTCTGCCTCACCCCCTGCTCATGCTCTCTCTCTCTCTCTGTGTGTCTCAAATGAATAAATAAAATCTTAAAAAAAAAAAAAAGGGAGCAATGCCAAGTGAGCCTCGTGCAGGTGTCCAGGGACACCCTGGACAACCTCCCTTGGAGCCTGAGGGTGAGGGGGCTCAGGAGGGACAGGGTGCCAAGGAGGCCAGCCCATGAGAGATAGTCCAGAGTGGCAGACCCAGGACCCCTTTTGGAAAGAGGATGGAGTCAGTCACCATCTGACTGTCTTATCAGCCAGTCCAGGTCCCCTATCTGACCTAAGGGCCAGTGCCCACACTGACAGCCCCGACCATCTCCACAGCTGCTCACTTATGGGCCCTATAACCTCAGCCTGGCCTGTCCCAAGTCCCCTGGCACAGGGACCTGGCCAGGATGCCACCCCAACTCTCTCCTGCAGGTGCCACCTGAAGACCCATGCTGCCCCCTTATCTGGATGTTTGACCCATGGTGGGAAAAGGCAGCTGCCTCCAGGTGAGGGGGCTCAGTGGGCATAGGGGTGGGTGGGGGGGATGCTTGAGAGCCTGGTCCTGGGCCCCCAGGCTTGGAGATCATTGGTGGGGAGGCACAGCACTGGGCCTGAGCCAATGACTTGCTGCTGGTCACAGCTGACGGAGCAAAGATGACCAGGGGCCAACTGGCCCCCCTCAGGCACAGAGCCTAGGCAGGACCTCAGATAGAGAAGATTGGAACCAGCACCCTTGTTGTGGACCTTGGGGGATGAGCAGAAACACAAGGAGGTGACCCACCCAGACCCCAGTGGGGTGTGAGCTAAGGCTGAGTGGGTGATGGCGAGGCCATCATGAGCCCCCAGGCAGGCTGAGACTAAGTGAGTGAGAGACCCATCAGAGCCAGGCAGGATGAGCCCCAAAGGCTTGCTGTGCAGGGTCCCAGCCAGGCTGCAGATCAGAGGAAGTGCAAAGGCTTAGTAGCTTTGCCCTCTGCCTATCCCAGCAGGTTGGATGTGAATGGACCAGGCCTGGGACAGAGCCCACGGGCCTTGGCCGAGCACAGCCACTGTCCAAGTGCGGGAGCTGAGCTGGCAAGGCCTGCACAATCCCCGCCCACAGAGCAAGGACCCAGGCAGCCATAGGGACAGCCGTGGCGAGCAGCTGGTGGAGGAGTACCGGTCACCTGCCCGACTGGTGAGTGCTGGGGGGCTGGGGGCTCAGGCTTCAGGGGTCCGCATGGGGCACCACTGCAGGGTCGCTGTCCAGCCTGCACTCAGTCCTCAGCTCTCCTAGCCTTGCCTGGCCGATGGACGCTCTCAGCCCTGCTGTGTCCCCAGCACCTGCTCCACCCTCACGGCCAACCGCAGATGCTTGGTGATGCAGATATCCCCCAGGCACTCAGGAATGAGCCAGGCAGGAACTCCACAAGTATTTGCCTAGTACGCATTGTGTGCTGGGCTCCATGAACGGCTCCATGAACCAGAGAAGCCCCTGGTTCGAGCAGCCATTGTTCTGGTGGGAGGCAGGGCTGCAGACCATGCGCGTGCATGGCACACAGAGATGCAAACCGCCAGGAATAAACGAAGCCACAGGCAAAACGAGGGAGCCCTGCCATCCGGGGCGGGCTGGTTAAGTGGGGGCCATTCCAGGATCTCACTGACCGTTGTCTGGGGCAGCTGGTGAAGGCTTTCTCCCAAACCTGCCGCCCCCCCACTCCCACCCAGCGGCCCACCCAGATATGCAGAGCCCTCTTGACTCCCGGTTCTCACCCAGCACCCACTCTGGGCAGCTCCGCACCCCACCCACTGTTGGCCATGCTAAGGGGGCAGGCCCCACCGGGTACAGGCAGCCCTTAGGCCCACAGCACCCTTGCACAGGGTAAGAGGGTGAGGTGCCTGGAGAGGGGTCCCTTGGAGACCCGAGGATGACATGCTCACCAACATGCAGAAGGGAGCCTGGCTACCCGAGGTCTCTGCCCGTCCTCCTAACCAACTAACTCACAGAAGCATCCGCACTGCCTGATCAGTGAAGGGGGAAGGGACACTCGGTCCAGGCCCCCCTCCCCAGACTCCAAGCTGGCTCCTCTGTGTGTGCGGCCCTCCAGCCATGCCTGCAGGCCCATATCGTCCCAGGGTCTTGGTCCAGCATGGAGCCCATCAGGACAGCCCTCCCACCAGCTCCTCAACAGCCCCCCACACTGCCCCAGGGGACAGAGACAGGCCCACAGCTGCAGGCCACCTCTGTACCGGCCAGCTCTGGGGTCCTGTCCCTCCGCACATATGAGTCTGGGTTCAGACACAGCAGGTGGGCTTGTTGGAGGGGCCGGTGTGCACAGAGCTTGGGGTGGCCCTCCTGGGGCCACAGGGAGGCCAGGCTGCACTGACAACAGCCTGACCCTGAGAAGAGACTCTGGGCAATGGCCGACCTCTGCACAGAGCTGGAGTCTCCTCTACTGGACAGAGCTGCTGGCTGGGGACAGAGCTCCCCGCCCTGGACAGCAGGACAGGGAGGGTCCAGCCTGGCCATGGCAGGGAGTGCCAGGAGCAAGGTGCAGGTAGAGCAGGGACCCCCACCACACCCTGGCTGGACCCGGAGGTGGGCCTAGCCTTGTCACCCCCCCAGTACCGCACACCAGGAGCCAGGCCGGGAGCTGCAGACATTCCTGGTGTTCACCGGAATCTCTGTTTCATTTCCTTTTCGTTTTGTGTTCATTTGTGGGAGACGGTGCCCAACAGGGAGGGTTTTTGCAGGAGTATGTATGGTCACTGTGTCTTCCTCAGATGGATAGTGGGACACCCTCCCCCCCAGGAGATGTCCCTGCCACACAGAAGGCTTTGTACAGCCTGGGATCCCTACAAAATCAGGCCAGGTGGGGTGCAAACAGTATTGTGAATCTGTCTCCTCAGGTCCGCATGGATGCCCCTTGTCATCCTCAGGGCAGTGCCCACTCAGACTGCTCCTGGGTGAATCTTGTTGACACTACGGCACCCTGTGGCAGTCCTTGGCAGGTTTCCTTTCCCAACACCTTGGCCTGGTGCGTTTCTGTGTCCCATATGTCATCTATGGCCACATAACGCTGACCACAGACCACCCAGGCTCTGGCTCCAACAACAGGTTTCCGTCCTCAGGCTTGGGGTCTGCACTGGGTTCCCACTGGGATCCAGGCTAAAGGGGCCACATGGGGCTGCCCTGCTCGTGGTCAGCACCTGGGGGTAAGCAGCAGGTGAACCACACATGCACACTTGAGGGCCCCCTTGGCCAAGCCCAGCATGGACAAGGCCACCTGCTCTGGGGTCTGTGTTGTCACTGGCCGGGGAACGGACACACAGTTCTAATTCAGGGGAAGAGTGACAATTATGAGCAATGGCCCACCTGCCTCCACATTCAGAGCCTTCACACCCCCCGAGTCCCCACTAACCACACATCAGGTGAGTCTGCGTCCTGGGAGAAAGTGTTTGCGTTGGGTGCATCCGAAGAAGGACCCAGGGAAGCATGAAGAGCAGTGTGGCCCCCACAGCCAGCCGGCAGGGTGGGAACAGCAGGGTAACTCACCGGCCTCCCCCCCTTGAGAAGGAAGTCCAGTGGCACTGACACCCACTGGACAAATGTTTGGGCGCCCTGTGCGGGAACACACTTTGATTAGAGATTGCTCTGTCCCTGTGGGGCTTCTGTCCATCCTGGGACCGCCTTCCTTCTCCGCCTGGCTCCTGGCTGGAGAACATGGCCCCAAACACTGTCGTTTCGGACGGTCTCCATGAACCCCAGTCCAGGCCACGGCATGCTGGTGATCAGAGGTCCACAACCACACATGCTGTTCAACACGGTGGAGTCCAGTCGATGCCGGTGCCGAGAGCCTGCGATGGTGTCTGGACACAGTTCTCTCTGCAGACTCAGTCACTGTAAACAGGGCCACCAGCTCCCGGAGGCCTCCCCTGAGAGCCCCAGAGCCTCTGCAGGTGCATGGAGCGACCTGGCTTGCTCCCCGAGACGGACTACCTGGGTCATCCCACCTGCAGACCTTCGCAGCCTTTTGTTTGGCTGATTGGGATTGAGAGACCACGTTATTTTCCAGGCCCACAGGTTCCAAATCTCCTGGGCTCCCTCCCTGCCCTCTGAACCCTGTGTCTCACAGCACCTTATCAAGTGCAGCCAAGCTTACTCCGCCCACATTGTGCTGGCACCTCTCGGCTCAATGTGACAAGTTCCTCATGCATGCTTTCTGCCATCCAGGCCGCCCCAGGAGACAATCTCAGGAGACATGTCCTTGCCACAGGACATGGGCATCTGTCCTTCCCGCCCCAGCAGCGCTCACATCAGCCCTCAACCCAGTCCTAAATCCACTGTCACGTTGGGGCCTGTTCCGTGGGTCTCGTTAGACACTGGCACCCCTCAGGCCCTATTCTGCTGATAGGCCCACCAGCCAAGCACAGTTACTAGCTCTGTTCCCATTCTGTGCCCTCATACCCCACCAGGCAAGCCATCCACGGCTGAGGTCAGCATAGAGGGGGCAGGGAAATGTCTGCCACCGGTCACAGCCTCACAGCCAAAGGCAGGGACGTCCCTGGGAGGGAGTGACCACTGTGCAGTCCCCAGGGCTGACTCTTCATCGATTTCCGCAGCGGGCCCTGGCCCAGGTAGACGACCTTCGACTGGTGAACATGCTGGAGATGTGTGTCAACACCCGTGAGAACAGCCTGGGGAACTTTGGTGAGAGCCCCTCCCTGTCCACCCCCCGCCAAGGGCAAGCTCCAACTTCTTTCTGAGGGCCCATCCGCTCCAGTGCTGCCAGCCAGGCTCCGGTCTGTGCACCACTGCACCCCACGGGCCTGCCCTGCGCCCCACAGGCCCACCCCGTACTCCACAGGCCCATGCTGCACCCCTTTTTAAGGGATCAGGACTGTCCTGCAGGGTCAGTGCCCTTCTTCAAAAGAGTCTGACTCAGATCACTTTGCCGGGGCTTTGGGGTGCACAGGGACACCGGCTAGGGGGTTCCTGTGCTCTGGTACCCAGTGCTGCGAGCTGATGGAGGTTCTGGTCTGGGGTTCCCGTGGCTGGGCTTGGGACGTGGCTCGGCGGCAGGACCCAAGCGGTGGTGGCCCCACCCATGCCAATGAGGCTCCCCTCCTCCAAGCAGACTCCTGAGTCCCGTGGCCTCTTGGCCTTCCGGGTGGCTTGGTCCGCTCAGGTGCACCTGCTCGTGCCTGCTTCTTTGGAGGCAGGCCGCAGGCGTGAGCACAGGGCCCTGAGATTGCACTAGGACTCAGAGCAGCCACGGGGCACTGACGAGGGTGCAGAGAGGTGAGTGAGGGAGTAAGGCTTTGTCACCCACCTCTCCCTCCTGTGGCACGCAGGGGTGCACCTGCCCAACCTCAGCCAGCTGAAGCTCAACGGCAGCTGCCTGGGCTCTGTGAGGTGAGTGCCCCTCTTGGGCAAGGGGGTTCCCCACTGAGAGGCTCCTGGGTGTCCTGCTGTCTCCATCTCCCGGCCCTAATGCCCACCCTTCCAGCCTGACTCTGCTACATGTAGTTCATGTCACCCACCGCAGCTGGGTGGAGGCCCCGGCTGAGGGTGACCCATGCCACCCGGAGCCTGTGCTCAGTGTCAGGCCGGTCACACCAGGTCATGTGGCTGACTGTGGGGTGCCTGGAAGGTGCCCCGACCTTCAGTGAAGGCTCCCCAGCCAGCAAGCAGTCTCCAGTGGGTGCCCCAACACCACCCAAGCCTTCAGGGTTTGGGGTGTCCCGGTACCGCTGGGGCTGGGAACCTGGGGGTCATGCTGGTGCCCATCAGCCCTCATGCCCAGCAAGAAGAGCAGATGAGCACGGCCTCACATAAAACACAACAGCACTTTAATAATCAACTTAAAAGACAAAATTCAAAACTAAGCACAGATCGATGTCCTTTGTTTACCTCATCGGCTGGAAAGAACAAAGCCCAAGTAATATCAGACCATTTTAGGTGTTCTAGCAAAATGGGTGGCATGAAAACACTGCTGGTTTGGGGCTCCTGGGCAGCTCAGTCGGTCAAGCGTCTGACTCTTGGTTTCAGCTCAGGTCATGATCCCGGGGTCCTGGGATCAAATCGTGCGTCAGGCTCCCTGCTCAGCGGGGAGCCTGCTTCTCCCTCTGCCTCTGCCCCTCCCCCTGCTCGTGCTCTCGCTCTCTCGCTCTCTCTCTCTCTGACAAATAAATAAATAAAATTAAAAAGAAACATCAAAAAGAATTTAATAGAACACTTGACGATCTGGAAATGGAAGCAAAGAAAGTTGGAAGACCACGTGGCCCTCAGTGCGTGGCCCAAGATGCAGGGCAGAGAAGCAGTGAGCCAGGCATCGGGGCACCTGCTGCACCTGCACACGAGGGTCTGGCAACGGTGTTCGGAGACACGCCTCGCATGCGTGGTGAAGCAGTGTTCTGACGGAGAGCTTAACAAAGACGAAAAGCCGTGTTTATTCCTTCCTTGTTAAGGCGTACTAACGAGCTCAATGAAGAATAAGGTACATGAAGAGCATGTAAGATAAAGGATGAAGGTTATAAAGAGAAGTGGAAGGTATTATAAAACTAAGAAATCTGACACACCATTTGTGACAACACAAAATATTCAATTCCAAGAAAAATGATTAGATCATAAACTGCAAGAAAACATGTTCTGTCCCTTGGCGACAATAGTGAGAAACATAATGAGTCTTGCGGTTCTTTCTATTATCAGATCCTGAGACTTGGCCACGGGATGTTTGCTAATGTCCATGGGCTGAAGGTGGACAAAAGTTCGTAAAAGGGAACTAATGAAACATGACAGTCCAGTAAGCTCCTATTACGACTTAGCTGATAACAGCCATTTTCAGGACATTAAAATCTCAGGCAGGAGGGGCGCCGGGCTGGCCCAGTCAGAAGAGGGCGCAACTCTGGATCTCAGGGTCCAGAGTTCGAACCCCATGTTGGGCGTAGTGATTACTTGAAAATAAAATAAAATAAAATCTCAGGCAGCATCTTAAGGACTGGAAAATAATTTTAACGTAGCGTCTGTCCGTCCATCGGAAGCTGAGAGAGAATTCGGCCCCGGCTGGCATGAAGAACAGTCCCCTCGGTGGGGCTGCTTCCAGACAGCCGCGGACGCGGGAGGAGGGCGCTGCCGGCCTCGGAGGCTTCTGCCCCCAGTCAGCGGCACACAAGAGCGGCCGATCCTCAGTACTCGTTGTGTGAAGAAGCACACTCACTAGCCGTTCACTACAGCTTAACCGCGAGCATTTCTCTGCTGATGCTGTCGAGTCTTGCTTCTTCGTATGCCTTGTACCAATTCTTCAGGTGGGTTCTTTTTCTTGCTTTCCGGTTCTTGCGTAGGCTGAGTGTGGTTTAGATTTGCAAGGTGCTCCCGCTCACCCCGGCTGTGGCGGCCTTCACTTGAACAGAAACCCTTCGTTTTGATTTGTCCCATCAATTCTGGTTGGTGATTGGGATCTTATTTTGGAAGTTCGTTCACACCCCCAAAGTCAGGGGGCTATATTCTACTTTTTCTCTTATTCGCTTTTATGGTCTCACCTTTTACTTTCATCCAACTTACCTGTGAGGTCACCTTCAACCGTGGCATGAGGTTGGGACCCAGCTTTATTTCCTGCCATGGAGGGAGTCTGTTTCCCCAACATCATCTACCCAGCAATCCCGTTTCCCTGCCGATGGTGGCACCACTCTGCCACTTAGGGGGCCCACATGTGGATGAGATAATGGGAGCTCTCCGTCTCATCTGTCGGTCTGGTCCTGCACCTCGTATTGGTACGGCTTTGTGTTCATTGCTTCGTGTCGGATACCCTCGTCTTAGTCTTCCTTTTCCCAAAATGACCTAGCTTGCATTTGAAGTTTATGAACTGTTGGTTGGGTTTCACACACAGGAATCTTTCTGGAATTCTTTTTTTGGAATTAAAAAAGATTCATGTGTTAATTTGGATTATTTGCTAAGTCATCTACATTCATGAATATGAGACGCTCTCCATTCATGTGTTCTTTTATATTTTTAATAGAGTCTTTAAACTTGCCTACAAAGTTTGTTATCAGAATGCTATCAGTTAGCTTTCAGCTGCAAGGCATAGAAACCTGTATCCAACAATGCGTATCTGGGCCAAACCCGGTTCTAAACACTGAGGATGCATCAGTGAACAGAACAGACAAGAACCTCAGTCTCCCGTGGAACCGACAAGAAGCCCAGCATTGGCTCCTGGGGTCAGGTTCATTCAGCCAGTCTCCCTACAGCATGTGGCCCTCCATCCTCATGCATGTCCCCTCCCAGTACCCAACGGCTTCTGTAGGCACAGGCATCCTCGCAGGGGGACTGAGGGAGTGTGTTAGATTTCTGATGAGCAGAGCACCACGAGCAGGGTGGCCTGAGTGGCAGAAATGTATTCTTTCCCAGTTGTGGAGGCCAGAAGTCAGGATCGAGGTGGACAGCGCTGGCTCCTTCCGAGGCTGTGAGCGAAAACCCACTTCATTCCCCTCTCCTCCTGCAGGACTTTGCCGGCAATCTTCAGCGTTCCCTGGCTTGTAGACTCATCAGCCCAATCTGCCTTCACGTTCACGCGGCATTCTCCCTGTGTCCATGTCCGTGTCCATAGGTCCCCTTTGCATAAGGACACCAGATGGCATAGTGCCCTCCCCACTCCAGTGTGAGCTCATCTTAACTAATTACATCTGCAACAACTGTAGCTCTAGATAGGGTCACATTCTGGGGTGCTGGGGGTTAGGACTTTAACACATGCATTTGGTTCATCCTGTAACAGGGGACATGCCCTCCTGTGTCTACTATTGAGAACAAGCAGGTTCTTGGCGTTCTTCCTACGTTTCTCGGGGCAGAGCTCTAGTGTATACACTCACCTACACCGGCCGCTGGGAAGAGGACGGAGTTGGGGTTGGCACGAGCTAACCAGGCACACCTCCTAAGCTACCCCACTGCCACTTGGAACGGGGCAGGACACCGGTCCCCTGTGAAACCAGAGTCCCCTGAAACCAGAACAAAAGTAATTCCCACACATTTATAGTATTTTTATGATCATGAAGGAAGTCCTGTTCCTATTCTATTTTCTGGTTGATTATTACAAGTGTAGAGAAACATTATGTTGATTTAGAACGCATTTTTAATTTAATTTTATTTTATTTTTAAAGATTTTGTTTATTTATTTGACAGAGACACAGCGAGAGAGGGAACACAAGCAGGGGGAGCGGGAGAGGGAGAAGTGGGCTTCCCGCAGAGCAGGGAGCCCGACCTGGGGCTCGATCCCAGGACCCCAGGACCACGACCCGAGCCGAAGGCAGACGCCTAACGACTGAGCCTCCCAGGCGCCCCTAGAACACATTTTTTAAATCAGTGAAACACGGTTGAGTTTTATACATGGGTCTTGTATCTGGCAATATTGTGTCTTTATTTTCGCCTTAGCAATACTGCCAAACTCAAATTAATTCAAATAGTTTGTTAATTCCGTTGGGGTTTCCGTTTTGATGATGAGGGTTGTCTTTCACTTCCAGCCCTCATGCTTCTTTTTCTTACCTTCTGGAGCTGGTTTTCGGAATTACCAAGACGGCAGTGGGCACTCTTGGTCTGTCTTTTATCTGAGTGGGTGTGTGTCTGAGTCTCTCTGCCCTGTCAGCATGGTCAGAAAGTGATAATTCACCTCTGGGCGATCAGTGCACGGGACTCTACTCGATTGCGCTGAGTTACAAGCACCGTAACACTGAAATCCTATCTGCTGGGCATTTTCATGCCCGTGTTCACGAGGGACCCCCCCTCAACCCCCTGGCGTTGTGCTCCTCCGGTTCTGGGGTCAAGGCCTGACTCCCAGGCTGCCTCTCCCTCCTCTTGTTCTGTTCAGCTGCTCTAATTTCGAAACTTCCTGTATGAGAAATTGTGGAAGATCGAGAGTGTCTATTCCATGATGGCTAATTAGAACTTACTTCTAAAACCAGTACAGATCTGAGGACTTACAGGGTTGGCGGGGGGTGGGGTGGGGGGTGTCAGCATCCAGTTTTCTATTTCTTTAGGTGCCGGCTTTATCTACAGTTCCAAAAATGTTGGCATGTACTTTGTTTATAGTGGTCTTCTATTTTTTTTAATTGTTGTTCTGGCTATAACTATTCCTCTTTTAAGATGGTGTGTATTTATTTGCATTGTCTCCTTCTTAGCCTTCATCAGTCTTGCTGGAGGTTGTCCATTAATTTTTTGAAGAATCGGCTCTGGGCTCTGCTGGTCTTCTCTACAATCTGTCTGGTTGTTACTGCTTTCATCCTAATCTTTATTATGTCTTCTCTTCTTGTTCTTTTTGCAATTTGCTATTGTTCTTTTACTGGCTCCTTAAGCTAAATACTCAGCTTAATTGTTGTAATCCTTCCAGTTTTGTGTTTTGTTTTTTTTTTTGGATAAATGTATTTAAGGATGTAAATTTCTCTTTTTTTAAAGATTTTATTCATTTGACAGAGAGAGACACAGCAAGAGAGGGAACACAAGCAGGGGGAGTGGGAGAGGGAGAAGCAGGCTTC